GGGCACTGGTCAGCAGGCAGTCAGCAACACTATTGGATGTCACTTGCATTTTCTGGGGTTTTATTCCTCTCTCTGTCTCCTTTTCATTATGGTTACTGTTGTTGTAATAATAATTATGGTGATAATAATAATGTTTTACCTCATTTGAATTATTAAGTTGTTCTTGTCTCAACTCATGAGTCTTCCCCTTTCCTGATTCTCCTCCCCATCCCTCTGGAAGGATGTGTGGGGAGTGAGTGGCTGTGTTGTACTTACTTGCTGTCTGGGTTTAGACCATGAAAATTGACAGAGAAATGTTTTATTAAATAAAGATTTATAAGTTCTTTTTTTCCATATTGTGTTTCCTAATCTTGTGTTTACTCAACACCCTGCCTTTATGGTACCAAACTTTTCTTTGATATTACAATGTCACATGACAACTGTAACGGGAAGACTGCAAAGCTGCAAGATAAAATCTGACTGTCAACAAGTAAACTCATTATAAACCCTCATTATCAACATTTTAAAAAAGCCCAGAAAGATACTGCATGAGATACTGCTTTTTTACTTTGTATTATTTATATTTTTGACAAAAATCTGAAAAATCTCCTGTAAGGGATGAATGCTACATTGATACAGAGCCAAGGGAAAAGCTTTGCAGCAGAAATTGTTCATTGACTCTTGTGACTGCTAGTGTGCAGAAAGAGAGCAGAGAGACTGCAAGAGCAAAAAGAATTAGATAACATTAATTTAAAAAACACAACAAAGCCAAGGCACAGGGTTGCTGTGTAAACAGCTTTAACTATATATATTTATTTCCAGTGGCTCTGAAAACAAATGGAAGATTACTGGGAAAAGATTAACTGTAACAAATGCAAGGAAATGTTTTAAGCAGTTAGAAAAGCTTTTTATAGTAGAACAGTTAAATCTAGTTAATTGTGTTTGATTTTTGTTTTCATAATTACTTCCGTTGTTTCCCGGAACTCCTGCTGAATGTGTAGCATAGTCAAGTTCTCATGCCGTAATTAAAAAATGGATATATAGAAACTGAATACCAGTGTGATTAGTGTTGTGTTACATACTTTAATATATTTGCTGTTCATACTGGTTGAGAGCTGCTTCATGCTTAGCTGAGGAGATAATCCACAATTTAAAACAAAGGAACCACTCTGTTAAGTTGGCGTAGTTAATGGAAGTGCTTGACTATATGTGAAGGTAAGAAGGGTCATTCTGGTCAGGTGAGTAAGTCATGAGTAAGTCTTAGTAATGAGAGCCCCAAATTATTTTGATTCCCACTGTGACCCTGCACACTGGTATTGTCCAAGCCTTTTGGTTAGCAGCAGTCTGGGAGGGGTGAGCTGGCCCGAGGTCACAGTACAGTCTGTGGAGCTGTTCCTGTGCCGTAGGTTTTATAAATCCTGAACTGGTGTGTCCTAGAAGTGTAGAGCACCTGACACACTGATAGCAAAGCATAATGCATATGATGTCCACGTAGCTAGCTTTTTTTGGTATTATTTACTGAATCATTGTTCTAAAATACAATTATATGACGCTCCTGGAGCCCAATTAAAGAGGAAGGTAGAACAATATCCTGCAATGCATGCGCTTTTTAGTATCTTATGCACAAGCAGAAAATCTGATTGTGTCTGGAGGGGTGTAGCTGAGTTTGAAACTGCAAACACAAATGCTCCCTTTCACTCTAATTTTGGTCTCCCTTGCTTTGAGATAAACCCAATAAAGATCGATAAAGTTGCAGATACTCTTTGTGGCTCAGATCTGAAAATGTTAACATTGGGCAACAGGCAAGGAGCATCCACTGGCTGTTTTTTGATCGGAATACCACACCTGAATGCTGTGGTTAAATTGGCTGGGTTATTCCTTCATCCTTTGTTTTACCATTTCTGATATATTTCATGCTGTTTATTTCTGAGTACAGGTGTTTAGTTAGCACAGCTGTTGAGACTGAAAACTGTGAGGAGGAGCACTGCATGGCTTTGTGTAAATGAAGTGAACCATTTTACTGAAAAGATGAATATGCCTAGCCATGTCACGTCTGAAGTAGCTTCAGTTTTAGCTCGTACCATGAAACTGCTTTCTAAGAGCTTTTAGGCAGGTTACAGTCTGATTCAGTAGGACTGGGGCAGTCCTGCTGAGAGTAGTGGAAACTGTAGGAGAATTCTGAAAGGTATTTGCAGGCTTGTGTGGCAGAAATGTGCAACTGTGTTTTATGCTCAGTGTTTGGTCCAGCCAGTGTTGTCAATCCCTTTGCTTCCGTGGTGGATATCAATCTGGCACCTGTTGAAAGGAAAATCAAGTCAAAAGAGCTCCAATGTCTTCTTTAAATTTATTTGACAGTGTAACATTGTTTTAGGTAACATTGTTTCTGAGTAAAGCCAATAGTGAATACATGAATGAGTCCAAATCTCTTCCTGTAAGCCAAGGATCTTCATTACCATTCATGGACCTTTTATGTAATTGCTTGTGTAAGGGTTGCACATGATGCATCATCTACTTTGGAAAAAATTACTCAGCAGGGGCTGTGATTTATACAGTAAAAATGAATATTTAAGACCCAAGGGAAGCTATTCACAACTTTGGGAAGGTGGGGAGATAGTAGAAGCATAATTTAAAGTAGCTTATGTCTCTTTTAAAGCACTATTAAAAGAAGTATCTTAACATTTTCTAGGGTGATTCATCACAAGCTGACTTGTCTGTTTAGGATTTTCCAAATGTTTTTCTAATTAGATAATAGGCATGAATGTGAAAATTATTTGGCTGTTTTGTCTGAACGATGACAATTTGTAGGAAACTGAACTTGCCACATTCCTGTCTTTCCTTTGCAGCTGAACTTGGAGTTCAGTGTTGTGCATTATGTCTTTTGATTTGTTAGAGCTTTACATTTGTAGGGCAGAAAAGCTGGATTCCATCCTCCATATCAACCTGGATATTTAAAAGAATATATAGGAAAAATTGAATTATTTCTTAAATATGCCACCCCAGGAGGAATTAATCCACTAGCAGCACTATAACTCACAGTGTGTATATCATTGCCCTGGAAATTTGTATCAGCGCACTTGTAACAGTGTGGTTTCAGAAACTGTGGTGTTGACTTTTAGTTTGTTACCTGTAATTTTTACAGGTGTCATTGATAGGAGCAGTATCCAGCCAGTGCATGTTTCAGTGCAAGATGTGGCTATTTGCCAATGACTATGCTTGGGAATTTACATTTTCAGAGGTTTATTTTTCTATGCACAGACTGATGTCAATGTTGCATGCCAGTACATTTAAGGGAAAAAAAGAATTCCTACTTAAAATAAGTGATTTTGTGTATTTTGTAATATACATGATTATAAATGTAGAAGCCTGGGAAATTATCAGTGTTCTTCAAGTAGGCATGTAAAGGACTCTCTTCAGAGTTGTACAAGCTATGTGGTATAAGGAAAAGAAATGAAATGTAATCATTATCCAAATACTGTGAATAAAGATAAGAGTTCTCCACAATTTATCTACCAAATGTGTGTCTCTCTAACACAGAGTGACTCTAATACCACAGTTGTAATATTAAGTCTGCCCACATATTTTGTGCAAAATCTCTGTGGTGAGGCATTCATTGCCTTGAAAAGCTGACACAATGGAATGCTTTTTGTGCTGCCTCTGGACAAATTATAGTCCATTTTATCAGTTCCAAGGTCAGAGTACTATCATGGCTCTTAAACTGTAGTGTAGTAAAGTGGGCTCTATTGAATGCTCAAGGAACAGCTGTAAGTTTGCCTGATTACTGCAGCCAGGTATCTCCAGAACCAGAGATGTTTTGTCTGAACCTATTTCTCTTGTCTACATTCTCATTTTTGCTGTAATTTAATTTCAGAATTGATTTTTGCTGCAATATATATGGAGTTGTAGAGCTAAGACACTCTCAAGACACACGACAGCCATTGTTAACGTGTCACTGTAGAAATGATACATTGCTTGTATCAGCTCTAGTGCTGTTTTAAGCATGAGTCAAAGGGCACTGTTATTAAACACCTTGTACTACCAGAGTCTCTTTCTTTCCCTACCATTCTTGTAGACCACTTCTATTCTTAGAATTGAAAAACCTAAGCCCTTTCACACAAAACCTGAAGTAGATTTGCATGGACTAAATACTTCTCTTTCCTTTTTTAACTTGTCTGCTACTAGTCTTCCCTTCCCTGTCAAAAAAACCTGCTATCAATATGAAACATTGTTTTTATGCTCTGCATGCCTGCACTGGTGTGGGAATATTCATTTTCCTGTGAATAAAAATCATCATATATTTTTTCTTGGCCTCTCTGAAATGCAGAACAATTATTTCAAATTAGGATCAGAATTATTTTTTTCCTAATAAAAACTGTGTTATTCAGCAGAATCAGTTTTTCTCATGGCATTCAGTCTAAAGCCCCTGATATCCCTGTGTGAATATGGATTTTCTTGCCCATTTTGCACTTCCTCTTCTCCCCTGTTTACATAGCAGCTCATCAGCACTACTTTTTGGTGTGCAAAGTGGGTAATTTCAGTAACATCTCTCTACCCCCAAACTTCAGGCTTCCTTTTTTTGGTTCACTCTCTTGAGTTCATGACCAATTGCAGATGGATCACTGATTCAGTGATGTGACTTCTGCTCTTTGGGAGCAGGTGAAGGAATGTGGGTGGCTTTCTCTTATCTGCCATGGGACCCCAGCACACATGGGCATCACAGATCTCAGAGTTCCTGTAGAGTAAAATGAGGAAAAAATGTAAATAAAGCTGACATCTCTTAGCAAAATGGAGCTTAGTGTGTATTTAGGTGATATCATGTGCTTTATTGACTTACTGTCTTAATTTGACTTCTAAAACTTATTTTATTATTAAGTAATCATGGATAATTTTGAAATGGGTACCACTTTGCAATTGCAGCAGCCCTTTTTTATCCCTGTTCTTTTAACTCTTTGGGAACACTGGCATAGTCTATAACTTTATGTAGAGTGATAAGCTGTTGAAATATTTTTTCCTTTCCTTTTCAGGGAGTAATATGTGGGAGGCTGTGGACTATTTGCTTCCGACATAGGAACAGCATTGGGTTGGGATTCTGCACTCCTGGGAGAATGCTGGGAATCTGCAGAGGGCGACGGAAATTCCTGGCTGCCTCTCTGACCATCCTTTTTGTCCCAGCCATTACATGGATTTATCTGTTTGCTGGGAATTTTGAAGGTAGGAGAAGAATAATGGCTGAGGGGGGGTGGTGGGGTGTGGAATTATTTGTAGCTGAGCAGACAAATGTAGATCAGTCATCATTGATTTTATTTAAATAAATCTTGACTTGCATATGAAATTGTTCCCAATGTACAGATTTCAACAAAGGGCCTTCCTTACCATGTTCACTCTGCTGAGGATGTTGAGTTAATTACTGGCCACAATTACTTGGTTTTTCACTCATCTTTGAACTTTGAAAATGTGCAACAACTCCCCCCCTGCCCAGTCTACTAATCTTCTATCTGTATTTTCTAATTTTTAGAAATTGGTCTATCCTATGCCCTGTAAGATTTTTAACATCTTGTTTCAGAACACAGAAAATCAATTAATATCAATATAAGGTTTTTTTACCTAAAAGTAGTTTGGATCCACATCCACCTGACTCTCAGTGGATTATTTTAGTTGGAATATCTTTCTGTCTGCTTCTTTTTTTAGGTGAAAATCCTCCAATTTAAAGGTACATTGACTTGTAGCTATGTAATGAGCACGTTTTATAACAAGACATGGAATAATCACTACTTTGTCTTTTAGATTGTCTGTCTGATGAAGTTTTATTCCTGGCATTACAGATGTTCAGCAGTAATATCTCAGTTAGGGGAGGTTCAAGGATTCTGGCTCTTCTGCTCTTTGCTACTTTGTAGCTTTTTTTGTTTGTTTGTTTTGTGTATTGTGGAGGGTGAAGCATTTTATTTTGGGCAATAGTTATGTTATTTTGGCAAGAGTAAAAAAATGTCATTCAGCTATTGTAGTTGCATTAGCATGAGGAAAGGTGTTCCAACCTTGTAAAACTGTTCAGTTGCTAGTTTACAGTCTGATAATTTTTAAAAGGCATTGTTTAAAATGTCAAGCTTCTTTCATGTATCCTTGGTTGACAAATCTCTGCTGTGTTTGGAAACAAAAGGGGTTTCCATGTTAAATCACAAGTAAGAACATGTAAAGATTTTCAGTGTATGTTGCATACAATTCTGAGTTAGTTATATGCCATGTACAAATATTTGTTTATGCAAATTTATTCAAGTACTTAAAATTCTACCTTAATATGCCGTAACTCCATGAGCTCATTCTAGAACGAAACACTTGTGGGATTCATGTTAAATTGGAAATAAAAGGGGTGCAAGCTGCATACATATAAATAATGATCTGGCAGGCAGAACACTACTGATTTTGTTTGATTTTTAAAAGCTGAGCAAATGCAGGCCTCACCTTTTTGCTTTTAGAAGAATATTATGCTGCTTTGTCCTAATGACTATTTTAATTGTGTCCACAATTGATAATGCCACGGTGTTTTAAATTCCTCTGTGAGTGGAATCCTTTGTTTTTACAAAGAACTCAATACAAATCTTGAAATTTGCTGCTACAGAGTATTTGAAGTGACTTAAAGCTCTCACTGTGAATTAATCTTAAATGCAAACTAGGGAACAAAGCCCGTTACCTATTAAAAAGCCTTGGACTGGAAAAGTACTGGAAATTATGTACAGTTAGTAACTATCAGTGCTTTTTCTGTATCTGTTTTCTTTTTTCTTAATTTTGAATAGGGATTGTTTAATGTTTCTTGGTAAAAAACTAAGGTTGGTTAGATATTTATTTAGCTGAATAATAGCTAGTATTTTCCTTAACTGGTAGGTATTATGGACAAAATGTTAATGCCATTTTGTTATTCTACATGACTTCTTGATTTTTTTTCTCCACAGTGGTTCCCACAATTTTACTCATGTTTGAGCTCTCTGTGGAGGTTCTAGTGAGATGGGGGTGGCTTTCTTCTCCCAAGTAACAAGCAGTAGAAAAAGAGGAAATGGCCTCAAGTTGCACCACAGGAGGTTTAGATTAAATATAGGGAAAAATTTCTTCATGGAAAGGATTGACAAATATGGTCGATGCCCCGTGTGAGGAGATGTGAATCTTGACTCCATGTTTTAGAAGGCTGATTTATTATATTATGATATATATTATATTAAAATTATATACTAAAAACTATACTAAAAGAACAGCAAGAAAAAGATTCATCAGAAGGCTAGGAAGAACAGGAATGGAATGAATAACAAAGGCTCCTGACTCTCTGAGAGTCCGAGCCAGCTAACTGATTGGCCATTAATTGGAAACAACCAACATGCACCAGTCACAGCTGCACTTGTTGCATTCCACAGCAGCAGATAGTTATTTCTTTTCTGAGGCTTCTCAGCTAGAATAGGAGAAAAATCCTAGCAAAGGATTTTTCCTAAACTATCATGGCTACAGACAAACATTGGAACAGGCTGCCCAGAAAAGTGGTGGGTGACCATCCCTGGAGATGTTTAAAATATGTGTATATGTGGCACTTAGGGACATGGTGTAGTGGTGGACACGGCAGTGCTGGGCTAACAGATGGACTCAATGATCTTAGAGGCCTTTTCCATCATAAACAATTGTATCATTCTGTGATTCTCTAATTGAGTAGAAATTGCCTCACAACAGCGTTGTGCCTTGATTTGAAAGCATCAGGAGCGTAGAATCTTCTCTGCCTCCTGGCACTTGTTTCTTTTGTTAACCACAGAGCTAGAAATTTTCAGTACATCTGGTTTTAGATTTGAGTAAATGGTTCTTGTTAGACTTTTCTCCACCAAATTAAAGAAATTATCAGTGTGGTATTGTCATAGATTCATTTAATTGTTCAGTGTGGAAGGGACCTCAGGAGTTCTCTCGTTAAACTACTGCTCAAATCAATGTGGGTTTTGGAATCAGGCAATATGTTTTAGGCCTGTATTCAACGGTGTCTTGAAAACCTCCAAGGACAGAGAATATGTGGACTTCCAGACACACCATGAATGAGTGTCTCCTCTCTTTGAGCCCAACATTCTGGATAGTTTTTCACACATCTAGTAGTCCACCCATATACACAGCTTGACTACAGGGATGCTGTGCTTAAATTCAAGGGAGATCGCATCAACAGGTCATGTATTCATAGTCATTTCATCACAGCAAGCAGTCAGGTTGGTCAAGCATGATTTACCCTTGGTGAATCCAATTGCCATGCCAGGCCTGGGAATGTTTCTGTTTGAAGATACCTACATACAGTAGAAAAATCACTGTAGTGTTTTATTCATTAAGTAAAGATATTGGCCTAGCGGAGTTGTCACAGCAAAAAATTTTGTGGGGATTTTTTTGTTCTTTTGCAGTTTTTTTTAATTTTGTTTGTATGTTTCAGGGCTCTAGACTCAAATCTCTGGTATGAAATCTGTAGTGCTGTGTCTGCCTCATATTCTTGATGTAATTAGGAATTACATTACTCATTGATGTATTTATATCTAAGAACTTAAGTTATTCATTTGCCATTGCATGGGAGTGGGATCACATTAGAAACCCTTTAAAGCTTTGTTAGTGAATCTGTAATATAGAATATGCCTTACTGCAGTCTGTTCCAGTGTCCTGCTTTTTGGATAGTTTCAAATTTCTTAAGACAGAGTTTTAGTTTGGATTTTGTTCTTTTGTCAGAAAGTACATGGCAGCCTGCTACTTCACAGTTCTGTCGACACTTGCAGTGAGACCCTTCCCTTAGGATATTCATTGGAGGTGGTGTTACACAAGCTGTGACAGCAGTAGCTACTAAAAGCCTCATTAATCATGTATAAATGTCTATTACGGTTATGAAGCAGAATATTAAAGATGATATTGAATATTCTATGGCCTTTGAATATACCTGGTTACTGTTGTTTTTAATAAGGCACAAGTACAGCATAATTTCAGTTATCTGATACTTTGAATGAAAAATCTAATTGTTCCAACATTCTTAGAATTTATTCAAAAGACAAAGTAAGGGAGTAGGAAGGGTGGAGTGCATTTAAAACAGGGAAGAAAAAATAATCAAATAATACATGATGAATTTTCATTAGAAAGAAAATAGCAATTTCACTAACTAGTGGTAGCTCCATAAATAGCTTTATTTTCCAAGCTATATGAAGCAGTTTTCTATCCCCCTTACCATGAAGGTCATGTCAAATGGAGATTTGGAACTGTAATTTCACCATGCTTTCTAGATCACTGATTCCTAAAAAAAAAAAAAAAAAATTAAAAAAAAAAATCACTGTGGCTGTGTGACTTCAGCAGATTTACAGTCACCTATGTTTTGAGAGGATGAAAATACACTTGGAGTTACCAGTCCCTGTGTGGCGGATGCACTTGATGTTGAAATGCTAAAGTATGTGTGTAGGGCTCCTGTGTAGAATATATTTCCTGGGAAACAGAGAGCTGGTAATGTAACCTTCAGATGAAAAATTGAAAGTTGTGCGAGATCCTCCAGGGAGTCTATGAGAGAGCAGTTGACTTTGGTTTCTTTTAATTGCTCAGGTAGCATTTTAAGAAACAGAGCCTGGCTTCTTTCCTGGGACTTGCTTTCCTTGGTTGTCCTCTTTTCACTCCAGAGTTGGGCAGCTCTGACAATTCATTTCAGTCAAAGTCATCTGTAGAGACATGATTGAAGCCAGAGTTGGGCAAACACCTCATAAAATACAATAAAATAAATTGAAGGAAGGCTGGAAATATTCATCTTAGTATTTAAATGGATTCACTTTGACGCTGTTCACACTCTTTTTGTGTATGTTTCTATAAATATCCTAGTGAATATGTTAATTGAGAAGACTGTCTATGGGAACAATGACTATCTAGTTTAAATATTCATGGGAAGTAGATTTTGAAATCATATTTGTGAATACTTGAATCAAAAAACTGATTCTGGGGGTTCAGCTTTTTTCAGTTAAGTGCCAAAAGTTTATCAAGTGATCTATGTGCTTGATGAAAGCTGCCCAAACGTTTAATGCTTGCATTAAGTGGCTCATAGAAAGAGGCAAACAAATAAGTAATTACTAAAATGTCTGTCAGACACTTGCAACTGATGAACAAACATCAGAAAATAACTCCCTCACAGACAATGTAATCAAAAAGCCACAAAACATACAATTGCTTTTTTTGCTACATTTCCTTCAGTT